GGTTTACTCTAAGAGCTAAGACATTTGAGAATCAAAGAAAACTCATGTGATCGTGATCAAACAAGACTAATAACTAAGTTCAAGATCACACCTGTGATAAGTTGACATGAGCACCGAATTGTATGGTAACCATGCTTATAAAAGATAATTATGAATTAATTAATCCTTATAGAGAATTGGATAGTGATGATGCCTTGTTGAAAACCAATCTTGACTTACGTATCAAAAGATAAAAAGAGTGTTTCTTATTCTTGATATGTTGCCAACATATCTAGGAGCATATTAAGTCATATAGATAAGTTTAGGTATTCATATGATTAAAGAAAAGAAAAGATATTGAAATTTTTTTTTAAGTTTTGAAAGTTTCTAGTTTTGGAAAAACCAAAAATGGAAAGTTTTCTAAAATGAAAGTTTCTAAAATGGAAATTTTTCTATTTTTAAAATCAGTTTTCTAATTTGGAATTTAGTTCCAAATTTGGAAGTAAATAACCTAAAATGGAAATTAGGTTCCTAATTTAGGTTTAAGGGTAATTTAGAAAATTATTTTCTAATACGGGCCTCCTAAAGTTATCTAACTTAATTTATTTAGAAAATTAAAATTAATTAATTATGCCAAAATAGTTTTGAATCAATAGGTTTAATTAAAAGCCCGAAAGATATTTTGGTAGAAGGATAAACATGAACCTTATTGGATAAGGATGAATTTTTTAAAGATAATGATCAAAAGCCCACATGTAAAATAACTTCTAATCCTTAGAGGATTTAGAAGTAATAACCTAGAGTCATTTAGGGACACATTACAACCCTTCTTTATTCTTAGAGGACAAGAAAGCCTCTCCCCGAGGTACGACAAATATAAGGTTTTTAAGAGAGAAAATTTGGCACAAAAAGAGGGAGGGCACACGACATCAAGTAAAAAAAAAGGAGAAATAGTTTTTCTTAAAAACCCTAGCACACGCCACCTCCTTTCTCTCTCTTTGGGTTCTCACAAAATTACTCGATTAGATTTTTATAGGAAACACTAAATAAGTAAAAAAAGATGGAGTTAGCACTCTACTAATTTTGAGTGCTTCTTTTATGGGTGATTGGATTGCATGGATTATTGATAGAGGCATGACACTTGGATGGCTTTTTCTCGTGAAGGTTTAAATCTACACTATAAAAGGTAATTCTCATTTAAAGCTTTAATTCATGAATATATAGTTAGTTGATTCAAAGACATGATCTTAAGCCCTTTAGATAGTGAAAATTTTTGTTTTATTTGACATCTCTATAGGATGCATGATCCTTTAATGATGACTATAAAAGGAAGACCTTAAACACAATGAAAAAAGGAGAAAAAACTAAAAATAGATGTACGAACAACACTAAACAAATAAAGAGAACACTACCTATACAAGTAAGTTAAAAGACCATAAAAAAAAGATAAATGACTATATATCTTCTTTATCTTATATAGTAAAGCACTCTCCATAAACTTAGGCATCCTAAATGATTTAATCTAATAAGCCTCTAAATGTTATATTCGTCACTCTACGTATGCTAACATAGCCATTAGAAGATGCTCCTAAACTCAAAAAAGGATTTTGTTTCACATGTACTATCATTAAAGCCATAACATCAAGACTCTCTATTTCTATATGATCGACTAAAGGAAAAGCTCATTCATTTATTCATGGAACAAGAATCTATAACCTCATCGATGACGTTATCTATGAGAAACTAAAAAAAAAAGTCAGTCCCTAAATCTTTTTATTTCTTTATTCTCAAAGCTTCTCTATGGCTGAAAATTAAGAAACTCCTTCAAGGCTAATACTATTAGATTTTGCCAATTCTAATGCTTTATCGGTTGATGTCTTGTAGTGTCAACAACATGTTAAACTACTCATTAATTCATACATGTTAACTCGGTAGCAAATCAAATCACTAGTGCTATATCAATACTAGCAACTCACTAAGAGCCCTAATAAGGCCTATAAATTATTTTTCCATCAATAGATCCACGACTAGCGAATCCACCATGACAAGAAAGACTACCCAAATCTGTAAAAAAATAAAATGAAGGGATGGTATGCTATAATGAATAAAGAGCTAAAAAAAAAGTACATCACTCTCACATATCCTAAAAGATTCACCATCTTTACAAAAAGCCAATAAGCCAAGCCTCCTAAAAAGAGGAGAAAACCGACAAAACAAAATGTCATCAAAACATCAATAACGAGCATAACACTTCTTATAACTAACATAAAAGCAAATGCAAGGATAAATCCTTATCATTGTAAACCTCTTTCGTAAGTATCGAGCTTAAACACGAATGTAAGGAAAAATGGATAATCACAATTGCTCGGCTATAGCTGGACCATTACAACCACTAGCTCTAAGCTTTTTCACTTGTCCTACATATACTAAATCCCAAACTCCCGAAGGAGTTTTCCATTAAGAAAATAAATTTAGATACTTATAATAACGAGTACAAATCCTCAAAAATATGCATAGAATGTTCTCTACATATTTCGATACCACCTACCACCTTTCAAGGGATGGTTACAAAATGATATAATAATTTGGACCTTGAGTTTGTCTTTAACTTAAATGACGTATGCTCAAAGCTAAAGTTCGATTCTCCACCATAATTCCTATAAAAAGAACTCGATAAACTTGTTTTTAGTCTCCCGGGAAGGAGAAAGCACTCGAGCTTATCTTTTTTTATTTTTAAGAAGAAATGATATGAGTTAATGAGTTATTAGAAATTGTTATCATTGAAGCTTTGATAAGAGGCATCAGCAATGCCAACCTATCGAAAAAAATTTATATCCTCTTTTACATGAACCCTTACTCGATCAAAAAAATAATAGAGGGTTATATATAGAGGAAAAAAGCAATCACCATCCCGATAAGCTTTACCCCGTTCCAATAATTGATATGGAGGGTAAGAAACGAAAGATTGCCAACCTACTCTAGTTCAAAAAAAAAAAAAAACATTCCCCAAGGTCTAGTAGACACTTGTCTAATGTTTTTAAAACTCTAACTCACCTCATCGAATGCTTTTGAACAAAGGTGTTTACCACCATTAGAATAGAATTGTACATTACTTGACATGCCTTAATGAAATAGCCATCACACTTCTATAACTAAATAAGGTATTGTCTATATCATCAAGTATGGACCAGGATACAAAGAACTACTATTTCTTAAAGAAGAAAATAGAAAATTTGATAGCCAAAGGGTTTCTCAAATAGTTTCTCTAATAAAAAAAAACAAAAAGGAAGCCTAAACCAAGTCATCTTTTCCCAAATAAACATAAAGGGGGTAAGATTCCCCTACAACAACTTCTTGTAATTTCTATAATGATCTTCAAGCATAAAGTCCACCAAATCTTGAAACATATCTAAGAAATGATGTCAATATTCTCTTAGAAAAGGCATTTTATAGCATCCTTAAAGCTTTAACTCGATGGGTCTACCCTTATGAAGGATATAGTAGTGACAAGTTTATGTAAAATGAGCCATTCAAATCCTAGGAACTATGGGAAATTTTTTGTGATGCATGACAATAAACCCTATCCTTATGGTCGGACGAATAAAATTGGCATACAATGACATATTTGAAAAAGACTCCTCTATGAGATCATTGCTATCATCAACACTTACTACCTAGCATTGAAATTTTCAACACCTACAGGAGTCCATACTCAAAGGTAATTAGGTCCTTTCATAAAGATATAGCTCCTCTAGTCTTAGAGAAAATAGGAAATGAAAAGACCAATCCAAAGAGGATGAAAATGTGATAAAAAAAGAGCACTCGAATCATCTAAATTTCTAGAGAATTATTGAAAAACAAACCTCATGTAAAATATATAGATACTCATCAATTGAAAAACTTTCCACTTCATAAAAGATGGAGCCATAACTATAATATAAAAAAATCGATGAAGTAAAAACTCACCTCGATAGAAAGGGAACAAAAATCTCAATATTATGAGTAAGCTTCAGAGTTGCATAAGGTTATAGAAGAGAAAAAAAATCTTTCCTAAAATAAAGGCATTATAAAAATTTTTATGAGCCTAAATATCCACATCATTAGATCAAGAATAAAAATCCTCCAATTTAAAGGTGTTCAAATCAACAAAAGGTTTTCATCCAAATAGAATTAAGAATGAGTAAGCCTTCGGGTTTGCATAAGGTTTGGGAAAAACTACTTTGCCTAAGTATAAAGGCTCCATAAATCTTTTTGAGAACCAAAATTTATCATCTAACCAAGGTTAGTATCACATTAATCTTTTCTAGATATGAAGATTTATTAAATGAATAAGTATCTAAGAATATATAAGGATCATGAAGGAAAAAATTCACATAGGTCTAAAGTATCTTGACCTTTTTATAGACTAAAATCTCCACCTCTTAGAACTAGAGGATAATACTTTTCAAATTAAAAGCATGCAAGAAGTTTCGTTATAATGTAACTCGTCACTAAGTAAGTCAAGGGTCATATAAGAGATAAAAAAAAGTTCTTCCCTACATATAAAGGCTCCATTTATCTTTCTTCGAACCAAAATCTCACCTAGAGACCAAATACAAAATCCTAGGTTCAAAAGAAAAGGCATTCTCAATAGTCGGTAAAGCTTTGCGAGTTCAAAAACTTTAATTCATGGTAAACTACCTTGTATAGATTTAACAACACCATGGATCGCTAGTAGGTTGAAATCCTATAACCCATAAAGAAGCTAAAACCAACTTTAGCCAGCAAATACATAAGGTTCCTAAGGAAGTCAAAACATAGTCTATGTAAGTATCTAAAGCTAATTAACTAAAGATCATAAAAAATCACCAACATATGAAATTGACTAATTGAGAAAAAATACAAGCTAATAAGTATGTTCTTAAAGATGAATAAGATTCATGAAAAAATATCTTGCCTAGGTATAAAGACTCCTTAAATCTTTTTAGAAATTAAAATCCCTTTTTAAATCAAGGTTAGTGAAACAAAATATCTATACCTAGGTTTGAAGATATTCGAGAGGAAGAAGGAAAAGATAGCACAATTTTTGTTAAAAAAAATGTTGGTCCAAAAGTCAAAAGACCTACTTACTTGCCACTCGGCCTTAAAAGAAAATCACAAGAAAAGTCCGAGAGAAGAAAAACATCAGTCAAAAGGTCCTCATAGAATCCTAATACAAGGATAAAGGGCCTTAAACTAAATAAGTCAGCCGGACGTTGGATCCCATACAAAAGCAAATGCAAGCATGAAAACTTTATTGTAAGGAAAAGCAATAATTCTCATATAAAGATAGCAAAAGTATTGATCCTATAAAAGTCATGATCATTAAAAAAAAAAGCTTTAAAAAGCTTTAGTCCATCTTTATGATATCTACTTTATTTTCCCGGACACATCGAAAGGCCTATAAATGGTCCTTGAGGGAGGAAGATTAATCTCAATTTCCCTTTAAAACTAGTATAAGACCTAGCGCTCATCCTATAAAAAAGATTAGGAATGACAACACAAAATTCCTCACTAAGACTACCACTATATATAACCACCAAATTTATTATTGGGGACTATACAAAGGCCACCGTCGTGGCCCATAGTTAAAACTCACAACTCCTACCACCACTAGGGACGATTCCGTGACTAGGAGAAACTAAGAGGTCACCAATAATCTAAACATTCCCTTTAGTGTTTAGAGTATTCCTGTCTACCTCTCTTACTCTTTCAAGGTTGATGTAAAAATTAAAGTAAAAAATTACTCTCGAATGAATATCTAAATATTGTTGAAAAAGAAAGAGAGAAAAAGCAAACATTGCAAGAGCAAAATTAAAACTAGATATTTTAGAGAAAACTAGAAGAAAGAAGATGACACTAGGCTATTTATACACAAAGAAGGAGAAAAATCAACAATCTAAAAGACATTTTACTCTAGTAAGACCCAATCCTTGCTTGACAAGTGTCTCACCAATATCAAGGGACAAATATGATGAATAGGTCTAACAAAGTCAAAACACTTTGTATTCTAAAAAACTCTCATATGTGAATTGATTATACCTATCATATGGCAAGATCATCATTATAATTTACAATGCATTTGATGAAGGCCGTTGTGTGTCAACCATTACCTAATCTAATGAAGACAAGTAAAAAAAAGACAAACACTTATAAAAATGCCAAAAAATCTCTTGGAAATCCAAATGATCAAAGTTCACCTTATGACACTTTGAAAATGAATGCTAATCTATGACAAGTCTCGCCACAAGATAGCCAATATGGAAAATGTTCTCCAAACCCCTTCCAAAGATTGCACCTATGAAGAAAAAATCCATACAAAAATAATTTTGCCAAAAAATTCCTCAAATAATAGACATCTCCCCTAAATATTTTTTGCTAAAATTTAGTTATCGAAAACACCACTTAGACAAAAAGTGAGTCTTCCGCAAGACCTACTTGTCTAAGACTTCAAAGGGCTTCGGTATATTAGGCTAAAATTCCCTTGACACGAGTCTATCCAACGTAATGAGGCACTTGTTGCTACCAAAACGACTATACATGATCACAAAAACCCCGGACGAGGAAAGGCTATCTCAAATAAGATTCACCCTTTCTCTCATAACTCTATGTCTCTAGGCCCCGAACACCTTGAAAAAATTCTTATAGGACATGTATTAAATTAAAAACATTATTCCAAACACAAAGGACATGATCCGTCCAAGAAGAGAACATCCTCTTAAGAGGATCATCACACATGTTAGTGATCATGACATTAAAAGGATAAACATAAAACTATCCCTACGAGAAGGAAAGGCATCCCTCTATCTCTATACAAGTGTGAGCCAATGTCGATTATAAAAAGAAGACCTCAAACTTAACAAAATAGAGGAAAAGAACCTAGAAATAAATATACAAAGACATCAAAAAGGCAAAAAGAACACGGTTACTACACAATTAAGTGAAAAGACTATAAAAGAGATAATTTATTGTGTATCTTTTTTATCTCATATAATAAAACACTATCCATAAGTCTATCAAGGCATCATACATAATTTACTCCAATAAGCCTCTTAAGGCTATATTCATCTCTTTTCGGACGCTAACTTAGCTATTAAAAGGTCCTTTTAAAAAAATATTATTTTATTGGTACTATCATCAAGACCACAACATTAGAACTCTCTTTTACCCGACAATCAACTAAATAACAAGCTCATTTATCCATTTATATATTGAGGATCTACACCATATCAATAAAAAGTTAAATTATTAACATTTTATGTTTAATGTGCATCTTTAGATTTGATGATGTGTCATACCACCATAAATTTAATTATTTTTTTCTTTACTAGTTCCAATCACTTGGACATAGTTAGGGCAAACAAGATTTGATCTCATAGAGAATTAGTTTAGTTAATTTTCTCTTTATTGTTTAATTGTTTCAAAGTGAAGTAAAGGAAAAAGGGGGTTTGTTTGTTGCAAGGACTAAGGAAAATCAAAACTAAGCAAAGAAATAACCAATAATAATAGAAGCCATGGTCGAAGGTTGGTTTCTCGCTTTTGGTTCAATCATTGATCACCGATTCAGATATTAATCCATTCTTATTATGAATATTCACTATAAGAAATATATGTATGTTATCCCTAATCTTCTCATCATGATTCGTTAATCAATAGATCCTATTTTATTAATCCCTAATATTGAACAACCTAGTAGACGCTATCTAGGTTTAATCCAATAATAACATTAAGTGATAGAAATGTAGATAAAGCTAAAAAGCTCTCCTAGATGCTAGAAGAATTTAATCTAGCTTTATATTTTATAAGGGATTAAATGAAAACCTATTTATAATCATTAACTCCTAGTTGTTACCACAAGTAAGTTTAGACAAGTAATTATGGACTTGAATACTTAGCTAGCAATAGATTGCAAATATTAATTAGCTAGCATGTACTCTAATCAATTAACCATACAACCATCTCCATATAACATAGAAAAACATAAAATACTAAAAACAAAATTAGAGATAAAATTCTTTTATATCTCATAATGATTTTACTAAAGGCTTCAACTTTTCTTCAACCAAAAAAGAGTTTTTAGAGTTACAAGGTTTTGCTTATAAAAGTTTCTCTAACTATGGATGCTAGAGTTAAAAGGATCCCTATAATAAACTCTAACTTCTCTATTTATAGCATAAAATAGGGTTACATCACACACATGGTAGCCCAATATAGATACACGACTTGTTTAAAAAAGGAACATGGCTTGTTCTTTTGTTTTGGTTTGGAGCCTTAGAGAGCTGGTGGTACATGACTTACTAGACTAAGACACACAACCCTACTTAATTTGCTCTTCATCATGTATCCTTTAGTTTTTACCCATGTGTCTTGTTCTTCTTCTTAGAAGATATCTCAATCTTGACACCTACACGGGTTTATCACTTTTCTTACTTAAACCATGTTGATTACTACTACTCGTGTGCCTTCTTTGTTGAGCATCCATATGGTTTCCTTCTTTATTTGACATGACCAGTAACTTTTTCCTCTTATAGGTTGCACGGTTGTGTGACTTCTTTGCTTTTTTAGTGGTTTTGGCTTTTTATGCATTTTGATTTTGGTTTATTCGCTCCGATTTGCCTTTTTTCCAACAAAAACCTAAGATTATTATCTTGTTCTTATTTATCTTAATATAACATTAAAAAAAAAACACTTGTAAGTTTAATGTAAAGGGATATAAAATTTGTGTAAATTATGTGCCTATCAAATACTCCCACACTTAAACTTTTCTAGTCTTCGAGCAAAATAAACAAAACAAAAACCTAACTCATTTTCATAAGAATCACAATTGCATTTTTGTGAATGAATGTCATCCAAGTATAATTATCCTTCAAACATTGATTCTTAATTCAAAATCCAACAAAATCAAACAATCATATCAATCACATTTAAAATATCATTGTTATATCCATATATGTCTCTAAATTGATTTATACATCTTTATAATCGACATAATTTAAGCATGCAACACTCATCTTGCCTTTATCCCTTTTCAATACAACAAAAAAATATAATAAATTGAGATTTTCTTTTACTTAAAATTTTTCTTACTTTAACGAGTTTATTTTTTTTTAAGGCCTTTAACCATTCTTCGCTAAGTAATCACTCATCTTTTTATGCGACTACTAACATTTGTTATGAAAGCAACCAATTAGTACATAAGTCATAAAGTTAGAGTGCTTTGCATGCTCATAATTCAAGTTGTCATTCAATATAAAAGTAAACATTGATGCTGAATACCTTTAATTACTAAGTGATTCAAAATATTGGAGTAGATTTTCACTCAATATGGCCAAACTTTCCAATTGAAATGCTTTCTTTTTCTTTTCTTTCTTTAATTCCCATAATAATTAGAAAATCTCATTTATTTAAACCATCTTAGGCCTAGTTTCAAAGGATAATTTCAAAATAAGTATCACTTCACAAATCATGCTTAATCATAAAGACACATAAAGTTTTCTAGTATGCATGCACTTCTATAATAATAATATTCAAAATAATCCTAACTTTTCATAAGATCTTATTAAAACTTTTCATCGGATCTTATTAAAACTTTTCATCAATCATCAAGTAAGAAGGATACCATCCTAAACCATGGCGTTCATTTCATAATTTTTATATAAATAACCTAAAAATCAAATACAAACATACAAATAATGAAAAACAAATAAATAATTACAAACACTCTTAAATCCTTCTCCCTACACTTAAATTTTATAATGTGCTTCATGTAAATGTAGAATTGATCATAGATATATGAAATGTAAAGGGTAAGGGTAAGAGATCAAATCTAAAGTACAACACTTAAAACGGAAGTGGTGGATGAAAAAGTAGCCAAAGACACATGATCATGCCTCTTATTCCGCACAACCCATATATAGCTATTCTACTCAAGTCTTTATCTTTCCTTGAAAGTTGAAGCGGTGAGTATGGGACACACGGGCATGTGTGGATTTGGTGCAAAACCCTTATGTCATGTTTCTGTCTATGCCTCTTCTCTTCTATCCTAGAAGTGCAGCATAACACGAGACCACATGAGTGTGCCTTTTTTGAAGGTCATGTCATATTTTTTTCTTTTTTCATGCTTCCTTTCATTTGATTTGAACTTTGAAACATAGTGCACATACATA